ATGATTGCAGGAAAAAGAGTGGCGGAGAGTTTATTGCCAGTTCCTCTCTTCCGTTCTACGCCCTTGATTTGATAACTGGCAGTAAATGTAAAATTTGAAGCATTTAATGTATTCTTTTATTGACATTCATAAGTGTACATTGTGTACATGAATAAATGATTTTTGACTTTTGAGGTCTCGACTATCACCCTTAATACTCAATATTTTTCATACATCTTCAAGTGACTCAAGTGCGTTTACTTTGTCCGAACTCATAGTAGCGCGTTCAATCATGAGAACTAACATTACGCAACGCAATCTTTGAAACCTACACGCGATACTTGGATTAATTGGACGGTATAAAACCCGTTAGGCGATTTAGCAGTTAAAGTTTATAGCTATAAATTATCGTCACTAACACATAATTAACCGATAACGTATGGAAAGTAGGTAATGATTTTAACATGCCTGTTAATTATATCAACAGTAATAAATTCCTCTTTAATTTAACTTCAAAAACGCACTAAATGTCATCGAAATGGGCTGTTTTGAAGAGCGTAATACTCTTACGAGCGGCGGTGTGAATAAAAATAAAGGCTGCCGGACAACCCCCAAAATAGACAACATAATTATAAAAAAAAACATTGTAAGGTGCAAAATAAATAAAATTCTATTGTTAAGTGATACCGCCGCCCATGGACACTCTCAATGCCAGAGGGCTAGCAAGTGCATTGCCGGCCTTAAAAGCCGGTGAAAGTTTTATAATAAATACTAATTACTTGGTTCAATATAAGGATTCTATAAAGGTGACTTTGATTCATACCTAAGTTAGTGTAAAAGCGTGCGACTCTCACGCTGTGACCGTGCGTTCTAACGTCGACTAAGAATTAATGGATTGTCTTTCTACGTGCGCACTGTTTAGAGAGAGAGAGAAACAACGGGAAGAGATATCTTAGACGCAAAAAAAAATTTGTATCTACAAAAGGCTGATCCTACAAAAAAAAGATGTCACTGGATAAAAAAGGTTAATCGATGTCTTCTAATATTGTACACAAATAATGCCGCCGTTTAGATAGTGTAAAAAAATATCATATGTAATATTAGTTTTCGTACAAAATTGCATCCCGTATGTTTATGTGAGGGTGTGACGAACCACCCAGACTATAAAACGTTTAATAAAACCATACACGAGTAAATATAGAGTGAGATTAAAATAAATGGGATTCGCTTCAGCGGATTTGTTGGTTTAAACTGTTGATTTGAGTTACAAACATGTATATTTGTTTGAGTTAACAGTTTAGCTTAGCGACAATCGAAAATAACTTACGTATTTACGTCACTCAAATACACGAATAATATGTCAAATGGAATCACTATCGTAATCGAATAGTAACGTTTTTTTATGGAAACGTTAAAAACTATCCGTATTAGGAACTTAAAGGACACAATATGCTACGAATAGTGTACTGTAATACATACAAATTGTATGGAAAGGCTCGTTCGAGCTGTTAAAAACTGAAATAATTAAAAAAAAACTATCCGCGAAAATAGAGGACACCGTGAGCCATTTTTGCCAAAACCCTCCATCTTTTAGTCGATACCAACTCCGGGGAAATAAATACAGATAATGCAACTTTCTCTATAGCTGTGATACTTTTTGACATTCAACACGTTTTGTCTTCAGTCACCGTGACCACGCACGCTGTAAAGCACGCGAAACGTCGGATAAATTTAAAATTATGTTAAATAGTTGTAAATTTATAATAATACATAACTTTAATCCGGTTAAAAAGTTTTTTCTTTAAAAAAAACTATTATAAAGTTGGAGCTAAGCCTTGTTTAAAATTATCTTGAATGTATCGTTGGTTAATAATTTCCGTAATGTATTTAAGATAAAAGTGTAAATTAGCGTATGTAGGAAGCAGTAAATTGGTTATTAATATTCAAAGGACCCGTCAGCAAGCGATAATCTACAGGTTTATTGGAAATTGCTGGGAAATTATAGGATGTACAAAATAACGATGCTTATCTTATAAATTGCCTTCAGGTTGTTTACTTTAAATACAGATTTTAAATCAATATTGGACCGCTAACATAGCCTATAGATTGTATAACGTGGCCCCACAGGCCTGGGGGCAGACATTATTCTGCATTCGTTTAATAGGTTTTATAAGGAAAATCTTTTTATGTTTTACAATAAAGTAAAAAGTATCGCTTATAAAGATAACTGTAGGCAATATAAAATTCTGAAGTTGAAAATTTGAGAAAAGTGAAAAAAAAGCAAATATAAATATGGGTAATATTTATAATATTAATTATTAACAAAATGGCTCTGTCTATAATTCTTTGCTTAGTGAACTAACAAATAATGAAAGATAAAAGAGTGCCGGAGAATTTATTGCCAGTTCTTCTCTTCCGTTCCACGCCCTTTATTTGAGAACTGGCAGTAAATGTAAAATTGTATTTCTTTTTGTTTGTTTTCTAATAAATAAATGATTTTGATTTGATTGGAAAATTCCGTTCCACGCCCTTTATTTGAGAACTTCATACAATACTTGGTGATTTCTAATCAACTCTGAATCATTCGAATCTGGATTTATCTTTTGAGCAGTGGCTTGGGACTCTCTACCCTGTGGGAGGTTATATACTCGTGTTTTAGTCACTTGTGGTGTTACATTTATATAATTTAAAGAGCAATAGCTATCGTATGTAAAGTACTCCACCTGATTCTGATGCACACATTTGTACAGCAGGCTACGGCTAGTACAATTCCAGATCTAGTTCACAATAAGTGACACCAATTAAATAATTGCTTTGCTCAATAGAATTATGCAGCGTAATGACAAGATGGATATTATCATGGCACGCAAACTAAGGGTGAGGATTTTTGTGGCGTACTTTGATTTTGCTCAACTACCTTCGAAAACTTACTAGTGTAAATAAACTATGATTTTGATTTGATTGAGATAAGCTAACCGGCACAAAGCCTTGTTTGAATTTCATACAATACTTTGGTAATTATTTTAAAAATCAATCTGAATCATTCGAATCTTTTTTTTTTTTTTTTTTTTTTTTTTTTTTTTTTTTTTTTTTTTTTTGGGTTTTTTTTTTTGGAGTTTAATTTTTGTCATATGCAGTGGCTTGGGACTCTCTACCCTGAGTAGGGGGTTTGAACAATTACATAAATAATATAAATAAACAACAATAAAAAATAATACTCGTGTTTTAGTCATGCATTTATGGTGTTTTCAAGATTTATATAATTTTTCCCAAAGAGCAATATATCTATGTAAAGAACTCCACCTCAAAGATTCTGAGGCCATCGTGAGATAAGCTAAGCCAACACTAGGGAGAGATTTGCTCTCCGACTGTGTCTTAGCGATATTGTAAATTACTATTTCAATGGCAAAAACTTGACGCGCGTTTTCAAATCGCGCGACTAGACATTGTGGTATTTTCATACAACTGTTCAAAAGGGCCGGCCCCCACCCCGCGTTCCCGCGTCCCCCCGGGGGCCCCGGAGAAAAAATTTTTTGCCCCGGGGCTGCCCCCTTGCTGTTTCCCCGCCTTTTTTTTTTTTTTGTTTTTGTTTTTTTTTGTCCAGCATGCTAGGCGTACACCATTGCAGATCTAGTTCAAATAATTTTCGTAATTATATTTGTACACGCAATTAAATGAGTAATTGAAGCTTTGACTCAATAGAATTATGCAGCGTAATGAAGCCAAAAACAAGATGGATATTATCCAATATGGCACGTTAAAAAAAATTTTTTTTTTTTTTTTTTTTTTTTTTTTTTTTTTTTTTTGGGGGGGGGGGGGGTTTTTTGGGGGGGGGGGGGGTTTTTTTTTTTTTTTTTTTTTTTTTTTTTTTTTTGGGGTTTTTGGGGGGGTTTTTTTTTTTTTTTTTTTTTTTTGTTTTTTTGAATATTTGGGGCAAACTAAGAGACCTTTCACAATAGGAAATAAATTTTGTTTAATTCCAATTTTAGATCAATTTTTCTATTCAAGTTGTATTTGAAATGTGCTTGTTTTTCCTAAATATATAAACACGAAATATTAATTACTGTTTTGAAAATGATCTTTTTTATAGATGTTCCTGGTTTGTTTTTAACCTTTTAAACCGACCAGTATACTGTTGTATTGTTGGAGTTGGATAAGATGACAATCTATATTGGCTTGCAATGTGTAAAAGTTCGTAAGTGTATTTATTTATTTACACTTTGTTGCATCTAATATATAAAATTCTCCTGTCACAGTTTTCGTTGCCATACTCCTCCAAAACGGCTCGACCGATTCTCATGAAATTTTGTGTGCATATTGGGTATGTCTGAGAATCGGACAACATCTGTTTTTCATCCCCCTAAATGTTAAGGGTAGTCCACCCCTAAAATTTTTTTTTATTTTTAGATATTTTTTTATGATACAGCATTAAAAAATACATACAAACCCCTAACTTTCACCCCTCTACGATCAACCCCTATTTTTTTATTATAAATGATATATATGGCAAAATGACGTTTGCCCGGTCAGCTAGTTATATTATAAAAAATTAACATAATAACATGCAAAGGAAAGGCAACTGGCGGTGGTACTAAAGAAAGTTAGTAAAACGACTAACAAAAAAGGGTGTATTTAACAAATTTAAACTGTATATTGTTAACAAATATAAAAGGATTTATTATGTTTGTCCGAAATTTTTCGGTATAATAGAAAATTAGTTATTAATTACATGCCCACGCATTTCTGACATGTTTTAATAGGTACCGTAAATGATGTTACATTTATTTTAATTGTATTATAATACCTATCATCGGCTTTTATTAAGCAAATTAATCACCAAGATTTTCTATTTCTATCCTTACAAAAGCAGGTCAACAATTTCGTAACTCGGTCTATGAAGTAATGTGCACTTTGCACAAATTATGAATGTAAACATTTGAACAATTGTCAACTAGAATACTAAAAGTAGGTTACGTATGGTGCAACGTCTACTGTGATAATATGTTCTTGTACATACAATATTAAGGTAATATTTTTAATAGGGAAACTCTATAGGTGGTGAATTGCATTTCATTTCTTTGATCATATTTTATGAACAAGTAGACAAGGTGATCAGAATGTCGTTGATGATGCCTATCTATTGGTGCAAAGCTTTTTTGCTATAGCAAGATTTTGTTAATTAAATTTTAATTACAGCCTATTTAAATCAGAAACTTACATACAGGCTATGAAGAAATTGTTTAAAACATAACATACCAAATCAATCTCTATAGTTTCCTTACAAAAATGGTTTACATAATTCAAATTGGGAAATAGGCACTTACCTCAAAGAAGTGCGGCCGTAGCCTGCCTATTGTGTACTTGGCGACGTCCGTGGTGAGCTGCTGACAGGCGCAGCCGAAGAGGAACACGCCGATCACGCGGTAAGCCTCCCAGACCCACGCCGGGATTTCCGTGCCCAGGATTACGCGGGACCGGCCGCCCTTGTAGTCACGTAGGCGGATCCACTCCGTCAGACACATCTGTTGAAAAGTTATATTTTTGAATATCAATGAAAAAATACTGGTAGTAATTCAAATTTTTTGGAACAGGTTGAAATGAATATGCAGGTTCTTTAGAAGTGTTGACACCGGCAACGCCAAAAGATATACAGGTGTGTTATCGGCCTTTAATATTGTGTTCACTCCTAACAAATTTACATAAAACCAGTCCTATCAAAAACATTACAAAATTTTTAAAACCCAAAATATGAAATTAGTACGAGAAACAATTTTTCTATACAAAAGAACGTCTATAAAATGTGCTTTGTATAAAAATAATCTGAAAATCATCGGAAACAGATCCGTAATTAGAAGCGTTAAGTAATGTACCAATATAATCTTATATATTTGCATTTATATTAGATAGAGAAGTTTATTAAAGTCTTGTACCAAAAATCGGTTGTGTAAACGTTGGTTTACTGACGATAGTTAAAAATACGCTTTTTGACAACGTCATAAAACATAATATTGATGGGATGGTTGCATTTCTCAAAAAAAAAAATTAAATTTTATTTGTTTGATAGGTATTGAATTGTATGAATATTGAACGGCAAAGAAGGTAACTGGAAATCACAATTGAAGTTTGAGTCTTAAGTTACATTTATTTGCTAGGGGGAGCGCATACAAATATTGTCAACAATTATGTCAATTTTACAATGGAACCGCCTCATATTGCGAGGTAATCGACTCAGAGCGATTGTAACGCCTCAAGTGAGGTAACTGATCCTCAGAGCGGATGGTAACGCCACATGAGTCATATTTTTGTGCGTGCAAGCCGGTTCCATAAGAAACGAATTAAAAGACGTTGGATTCACGAATCAAGAAAGAACTAAAATTATCGATAATTCCATCAAAAACGTAATCAAGCACTAATATTTAAGTTAAAAACAACTTGTTTACCTGCTTTTAGAAACAATAAAAAACTATAATATTGCAGGCAAGGCCCGATACACATAAAATGAGTAACCCAGCCTCCCTTGAACATTGACCACATTTTAAATCGAGGCTTGTGAGAGTGGGAATTGAAATGTCAATGTCTTAAAACATTGACCGTGTCAAAAGAATGAGTCACTGCAGAAGCCGTGTAAAGTTTAAGGCTGTAATAAATATATTATTAAAGATGTTATTGTCAATATATATATAATAATACATAGAAATACATAAACAGTTCCAATTACAGTCAAAACCGTTTACGACGACATCGTTTAGAACAACATACCGGTTATATTGACCTAAATCAAAGATCCCGGCTGAATTAATTGTTTATTTATTACAGAAATACATACATTATCCTTACAGACAATGCCAAGACAATAATGTCTAGAAACATTGAGTAAAATATAATAAAGTATAGATATAATATTAAACACATAATAAACACAATATCGCTACTGTGAATTCACTCTGCGAACATATAAATATGTCGATAGTGTCGGGACAGCATTCAGTAGGCGCAACGTCTTGGATTATATTGTATTAGGTACTTAATAACAACGTCATCAGCTGTTACGACTATCGGTTTTTAAGATAAAATATGATTAGTCCCTTCGATGTCGTGATAACAGATTTTGACTGCAATTGCACAAATTTGGGATATTTTATTATGGAAACTTTTCCGTTCCATGGAAAACAAAAGTCCGTCTTTATTGAGAACAATAAACATACGACTCTAGGATATTCTGCGGTAATGCAAGTGTGAGAATTAATTTTATAGGTCATAATTCTTTCTTAGTCCTATCTACTTGTTGTACTGTCGTCACGTTGACGTAAGGTTTTGAACCTGTTTTTATCACAGGTTTTAATACGCAAATCTATGACGTATAAACATAGCCAGTACACTATTACATTTCCATACACTGCTTTCATACTTGATCAAAAGATGCAATTAAAAATCTTGTGTTAATTTTTGTATGTAAAAGCAGGCTAATCATCGTTTTTCTTTGATTCAAAGTGGCGTTTGTGTATTGGAAGCTAAACAATAATGTTACACAGAAGGACAAAAACGCAAGGAAGCTATTTGATTTTTTTTCATTTTTTGCATCTTTGTAGCTTGTTACATGGACAAAAGTTCTTAATTTTAATTTGTTACAATACAAGTTTTTTAATTATTATAATTTATAATATAAAATACTCGTGTCAAAATGTTCGTTCCCATACTCCTTCGAAACGGCTCGAACGATTCTTATGAAATTTTTTATGGATATTCGGTAAGTCTGAGACTCGGCTACTATCTATTTTTCAAACCCCTAAGTGATAAGTGGTTTTATTTTTATTTTGTTATGATACAGCATTAAAAAATACATACAACCCCTAATACAGCTGTTTTATTAGATTTTAAACATTTAAAATTCTGATACGAAAACCATTGTGCAGCAATCTGGTTTACGATACAATTCGCCTCTACGATCAAACCCTATTTTTTATTAATTAATTAAAATCTTATGATTTGAACTCTGAGGTTTATATAGAGAATAATTCACAAAAAAACTTTAAAAAATTACATTCCAGCAAACCGAACAGTCTCTAGGGTAGCATACCAAAATGTGCCATGTTGGTAATGTACTAAAAAGGTAGGCTAAGTAAAATCACATTAAGGACAAACGAAGTTCGCGGGGGCAGCTATTAATTTATATTAAGCAAGTGATGACAAATGTTTGACGTCAAATATAACCTGGAGTCTCAGTTCAGATGCTAGTCAGTTTTTGCATATACACATCAATAGTATATCTCTACCTTTCGGAAGTCATTATACAGAATTCAATATTAGGTAGTGTGAAGTCGTAAAACTCACAGTATGATACGATTCATATATGATCTTGGACAGGTCGAGGTGAGGTTCAGACAAGTGTCAATAAAATGTGTTAATTAGATGATGAGCGGTGAACGCACGACTTGACGTATCACTTTTAAGCCCTTGAGAATGATTAAAAAATACTTGTTTTAAAAAGGTTTCATATGTCAGAATTTCGAATTCTAAAACACTCTTAATTTATTACCTACGTCACTTTTTAGTTCTTCGTTCAGTTCTTCTTAACAACAAAAGTATAGGTTTCACATATACCAGATAATGTATGACATACTATTGCAAGAGTTGTAGTGAGTAATCATTTGAATATCTAGACGATTCATAATTTTTTTTTGAAAGAAAACACTTTATTTACTCAACAACAGGATATTTAGGTATCTTAGTTCTATGGTGGGTAATAACCTTGCTTTGCCTTGTGTTGTACAAAAATGGTCGGCAATGACGAGGTATGGAATGCAGTGGTATGTAGCATGACATGCTCACAGAAGGAGAGAGGGAGCGCTTTAGGACGAATCCTAGGGATAGAAGACGGGGAGTAAATAGGAGAAGATATGCCCATCTCCTACCTCCTATGTATACTGCACCGGAGGTTTTTGAGTGTAACAAGCCGTTGAGGTCCCCGTAGAATGCGACAGCGACCCCGGAGCCTCTGTAACGCGGCTTTGTAGGAACTACTTTAGGTGGTTTTAGTGGGTATTGCTCACCCAGTCTCTGAATAGCAGAGATTTTGGCGTGGGTTGAGTCCCACATACCCCTGTTCAGGGTATGCGCAAATGCATTTCCACCTCGAATATCAAAAAAAAGTATATTTAGGTAAAATAAACTACTAAAAAGTGTACTAGCCCCTACACTAGATTCCTTGTTTTGTGGGCAGCCAGTCTCTTTCTTTTTTTCGTTAACTGTACTACCTACCTACTTGACAATAATTTCTACATATAATACAATACAATTTATATTTTATTATATTTATACTTATTTATATAACTATTTTTGCACAATAAGTGTAAGTAATATCTAGCTAGCTGAGCGTAGAAAAATATCGGACATAACATTCCTAGTGTCTTTGTTTAATGGTGCAGCTGAGTTGCCAGAACTGTTATCTAGGGTGGGCCTGTACGCACCATCATTGTCTCTGCGCGGACCAAATTTATTGTATGTCCCCATAGCAAGAACTATATATAGACAAAATTCTTACCTATTGCGAGCATGTCGTTCTTTTAATGTGGCATGTCGGGAGGTTAATTTGGATTTGTTCTGCACAAGTGTTACGAAAACGAAGAAAGCCCTTTGTGATCGATACTTTGAGTTATTTAGATTTTAAAATAGCCCTGAGAGTTTATTGAGCATTGGTGTGTAAGAATGTGTTAATGCGTATTGATCCAATAACAGCTGAGTCAGCATAAACGCCACTTGTTCCACCTACCTAACCAAATCAATCAACTAATTTACATACGCTATGCAAAAACATCGCCACGCCCCCATTGACATGTATGCTGATATTGATCATGAATCAAACATTGCATACAATTGACACGCCATCAGATAATAAGCAACTGTAAACGGGAGAAAGTCCGTTGAGAAATAACGTAAAACAAAACAAGATAGGTTAGTTTTATTTTATCTGGACACTGCCCGCTTCGTCATAAGCTTATCAATATTTTCATCTTAAGATTGCATAGTTAGAAGTTAACCTCATTGTTAAATTTAGTCTGTTATTGATATTTGTTAGAACCGCTCGAAACCTTATAACTTTAGTTTTATCAGTTTTATAATTTCTAAAAAAAGCAAAACGGCTATAAAAACGCATCTAGTTGTAAGTTTTTCTGAAACAAAATAAATAATTTTTCTAATTGAAAAATTATCAATATTTTATTTTTGGCTGCTAAGACGGGCAACCAAGATGTGGTTATGGCTTAATTAGCAGAGTTTGATTCCCGAAGAAAACTGTATGGCACTTTTAGATGTTTAAGTATTTTTAAATCGGAACTAAACTATAAACGCATCTTAACAATGTGAGTTCAAAGAAAAAACAATGGTGAAAAATATTTATTTTCCTAAATACAAATTTACACTACATACAAAACAATACATACACCTATATAAATATAAAAAAAAGGGTGCGTGTACTTATGTACGCGCGTAAGAAGTTATACTTCTTTGTCTTTCTTTATTTTTT